TTTTTTTAAAATTTAATTAAAGATAAATCATCAATGTCGACATTAAGGTGTTTATAAAAAATAATTCTGTCATAACCTGACTTCAAAAAATTATTAAAGTTCGAATTCAAGATATTTAAATGTACAATTCGTCTCTATTAACACTTACACTACCGCTTTGAGTTAAATAGATCTAATTTTGTTTCGACGCTAAGTTGAAATCCTTTTTGCATTGACCAAAACACTCAAATTTTATGAATTAATTATAGAAATACAATTTTTTATAAATAATATTATCAAATGACGATATTTTTAAACATATTTATTGGACGCCTCGGCTTACTTGTTCTAAATGCTTACCCTGTCTTTAAAGCCAATGTCATTTTCTAAACTGTATAGTAGGAAATTTTTGGTCCTTTTTTTCTATCTAACATCACTTCCCCAAAGAGAGGGTTGGTTTAGGTGTATCCGCCACCCAACCCTGCAAAACAAACAAGTCTAACTAGCTTATTATACACGAAACATGTACACACCAATACAATGAAACCATCACTCACAAGCAATATTAAAAAGGCAATATTACCCTGTTGCCTATAATTGTGCTTAAGATGAATCGTAAATTTGAACGTTTTAAAAATAATTTTTATTAGCGTCTTTCAATTTTATTTAGTGCCTGTGGTATATAGACGATTGCGAAGTTTACTTTGNAATGAATCGTAAATTTAAACGTTTTAAGAATAATTTTTATTAGTGTCTTTCAATTTTATTTAGTGCCTGTGGTATATAGACGATTGCGAAGTTTACTTTGTAAAATTTGGTCCAAAATAACTTTACCTTAGAGGGAATATTCATTACTTACCAACAAATAAATAATGTTATCGATATTTCTCTTTAGACTATAATTCAATTAACTTTTATTAACTTATTTACTGAGCAATATAATATTTGATCAGACCTAACTCGACCAAAACCCAATCATATAATTAAATGTACATGCCAACCGGTTTCGAACAAAAGATTTCCACATTAGTAGTAGGGTGCATATCTACCCAGCACTATAGTAATTGATCGAACCCAACTTGACTCAAACTCAATCATATAATTAGGTGTAAATGTCAATCGATTATTTTTTTTTTTGAATAATATTTATACAGAGTTGAGGAGCTTCGAACAAAGAATCTCTACGTTAGTAGTAAGCTGCTTATCTACTAAGCACTATAATATTTCAATAGACCCAACTCGACCCAAATTCAATCATATAAGTAGGTGTAAATGTGAATCGGTTTCAAACAAAGGATCTCCACATTAATAGTAGGGTGCTTGTCTACTGAGTACTATAATATTTGATCAGACCCAGCTCGATCCAAACCTAATCATATAATTAGGTATAAATGCCAATCGGTTATTTTATTGNATCGGTTTCGAACAAAAGATTTCCACATTAGTAGTAGGGTGCATATCTACCGAGCACTATAGTAATTGATCGAACCCAACTTGACTCAAACTCAATCATATGATTAGGTGTAAATGTCAATCGATTATTTTTTTTTTTTGAATAATATTTATACAGAGTTGAGGAGCTTCGAACAAAGAATCTCTACGTTAGTAGTAAGCTGCTTATCTATTAAGCACTATAATATTTCAATAGACCCAACTCGATCCAAATTCAATCATATAAGTAGGTGTAAATGTGAATCGGTTTCAAACAAAGGACCTCCACATTAATAGTAGGGTGCTTGTCTACTGAGTACTATAATATTTGATCAGACCCAACTCGATCCAAACCTAATCATATAATTAGGTATAAATGCCAATCGGTTATTTTATTGATACAAGGTTAGGGAGTTTCAAATAAAGGATCTCCACATTAGTAGTAGGATGCCTATGTACTGAGCACAATAATATTTGATCGGATCAAACCCGACCCAAACTCAATCATACAATTAGTTGTAAACAATTCATGCCCTAATTTATAGGGTAAGTATTTCTGCCCTAATTAATAGCCAAAAAACCTTATTCTGTGTGTATCGTACATTGAACACCTTGAAATGTGAAACGGCTTTTCTGGCTGACACCCTCNGTTCGGATCTAACCCGACCCAAACTCAATCATACAATTAGTTGTAAACAATTCGTGCCCTAATTTATAGGGTAAGTATTTCTGCCCTAATTAATAGCCAAAAAACCTTATTCTGTGTGTATCGTACATTGAACACCTTGAAATGTGAAACGGCTTTTCTGGCTGACACCCTCTCCTCTATTTCATCACCATCGATGCCTATAAAATTCGGATTTCTATTACATTATTACCTATCTCCATCTCTGTGAATGTTGAAGTAGTTATGGTATAGAAATTATTTTCTCTCTGATTTTCTCTCTCTTCCTGTCTCTCTCAGTACCTCTATGCTCTCACTTTGAAATTCACGTCTCCCCCTCTCTCCTCTCTTTGTGTGGGAAGTTTCAGTTTTTTTTTCTCTCTCTTTCTCCAGAAGTCTATAGATTCATCTCTATTGGAGCTGTGGCATGGCGATTCCAGCGGCGGTTGTTGTAATCCCGTTGGGAGTTCTCTTTTTTATCTCAGGTCTCGTTGTCAATATCATTCAGGTAAATTCCGAGAATAATTAATAAGAACCGAATGCGATGTGCTTATTTTGTATTGCTGTGGTAAGATTGAGCCAATTTACTGGGACTTCGTTCGAATTGGAATTCTTTAAGCTAAGGGTTTTGGGGATTTTTTGGGGAAGTTCTTGTAAATTTCGTTGCTTTTACAACCTTTTTAAGCATTATTTATGCTAATGGTGATCATTTTAAAAACCCCACTCTTTTAGGCGATTTGCTTCGTACTTGTACGGCCATTCTCAAAGAATACGTACAGAAGGATTAACAGAGTGGTGGCGGAGTTGTTGTGGCTGGAACTCGTATGGCTCGTTGACTGGTGGGCTGGAGTTAAGGTAATTACCTCATATTTCTAGTTCTACATATTATTATTTTGAAGTGCTGTAAAGCTTTCATTATGTTTATCTATTTTAATCTTATTCTTGTATCCATTTATCTGTCATCTTTGTTGCACAGACTTGCCAGCAAGAACGTTTTGCAATCTTGATGTTGACGTGACCTCTCTCACTAGCTAGCAAGATTGATNTCTCTTCTCCTTTGAAATCCTCCCGTTGATCCTTGATAGTCTTCTTGGATCCTTTGTGTTGTTGCTTTGGTGAAACTTCAAGTTCTTCAACAATAGATGTTCAAATTCTCATAGGAATTTAAAGTTGATTGTGAAGGAATTGAGTTTTGATCTTGTCTAGAGTAAGTTTTCTCTTGACTTGGTAGCCCCTCTTTGAAGCCCTAGAGTCTCTCTCTAATCTCATTGGACACCTATTACGTCATTGGTGGCGTCCTCTATTTATAGGAATATGAAATAAGAGTTAGATTGGTGTGCAAGAAAACCTGTCCACAAATGACCGCTGCGTACTGGAATTCTATTTTGCAGCCTATGACCAAGGACCACTCGAGTACTATAGCAAGTGCTGGAAACTGCTGGTCTCTGGAATGCTTATTTTAAGCTCAGTTTAACCGAGTCCCGAGAGCTCTTGGAGAGTGCTATCCACTGATTTTTTTCGAAAAACCAAGGCTCTTTTTCAACTCTTTAAATGTCAAGGGGTAGTACTTAAAAAGCATACATCCAATGACTCATTTCAAAAAATGTTTTCAAAAATTAAAAACCTAAAATTTCAAAAGCATTTTAACATCAAAAACACACGAGTCGTAAATAGATTAAATACTCGCACTTTAAATCAAATTTTACAATCTAAGTTAAACCAAACTAGGACAACTAGGTTTCTAGGTCATCTTACCTAACCTAATTTTGATAGGATCCAAGACATCTTCAATGTATTGCTAGGTAGCTTGAGCTTATTCATCATATCTTGCTTCAGTCTTCAATCTTCAATAACNAGTTAACAGTAGAAGCTCCCTATGGGTTTGTTTTTTTAGAGATTTTTAGTAAAATGACGTGTTAGTGTTTTCAAAACTAGTTCGGTTAGGTCATCTCCTTGATCCAAGGCAGTTGACCTTGGGGGGATTGATCATAGTGTTAGGAACNCTTCTTGATCATGAATTTAGTTGAGATATAAGATACATAGTGATCTCGTGGAATTCGCTAATTACAATATTTTTCTTGAAGACTTTTTTGAGATATAAGATACATAGTGATCTCGCGGAATTCGCCAATTACAANCCTCTTGATCATGAATTTAGGTGAGATATAAGATACATAGTGATCTCGTGGAATTCGCTAATTACAATATTTTTCTTAAAGACTTTTTTGAGATATAAGATACATAGTGATCTCGCGGAATTCGCCAATTACAATATTTTTCTTAAGGACTTTTTTGTGGCTTCAACAATACCTACCTTCCTGTCTTGGTCCCTTTTTTTTTTCCATCATTTTTGAGCGCTTCGAATGCTTCGAATGCAGTTACATGTTATCATACTTTGACACTGCAGGGGTGAGCCTGTCATCACTGGGCCATTCCCATTGTCTCCCCACTCCATTGAAATTGTGGTTACTATTTTTAGAGGCTCTGGACATGATTTATCTTGTGGATGTGGGAGGCCGTGTACTATTAGCATGCCTATGATATTTTGGCATTTTTTCTCAGGGTATGGGCACATAGCACTTCATTGTTTGCCTGTCATCAGTTGGGCATTGGCTTTGATATCTTCATTTTACAGGTACTTGATTCAGTTCTAGTGAGGCTTGGTTCTTTAGTGGAACAACAAAGGTATTTGTTCTTGTTCTCCAACCCTGGTTTGAATTTGGGGTGTCATGTGTGACAACGGACAAGGCCAATAAGCAAATAGGGAAGTTTTTCAAACTAAAAGGCCAGTGAGCAAATAGGGAAGTTTTTCAAACTGAAATATTGTTTGGCAGTGTTGGTGCAACAGCAAAATGGACTATACACCTTTTATTTTCACTTATACCCCTGTGGGATTGAGAAGGAACACTATGTACTTGGGAGGCTGTAGCAATTTGCCAGATTCAAGATCTGACATTTAGGGTGAATTCTACCATAGATTGGGAAACTTACCATTGCTCTTGTGGTAGATTATTATATCTGCCATCGTTATAAAGGTCTTGCTTAACCTTCCAGGCAATATTGCAGTTAAGTTGTTTGGTTTTGAAGAGTGATCTCCTCTATCAGCTGTGGAACTAACAGTAGAGTTTTCAATGGCCAATTTAAGAGTTTCGTGGTGACAAAATTTTCTACTTAGAATTGATTATCACGCCCTTTTTATCTTCTTCTTGTATTCTTTATTGGCCACCAATCTTCATACTCGCTTGTTACCAAAAGAAATATTTCTAGGTTTTTTTGGTGCAGTTGGTATGGCCAAATGGTTGGATAGTAGAGTGTTGCTTAATTCAGGTGGGAAGTGTACTGCTGTGGTGAGTGGTGGATAATTGGCAGAAGAGTAGTTAAGAGGCACTAAGCTACAGAGAAGGTCCAAGATTCAGAACGTGGCCTAGCTGGCTGGATTGCTCCTCTGAACTAGGCTTTTAGGATCTATATTCGTGCATACTGGTGGCTGTGGTCTGTTGTCCGCAGATGAGGCACGTATATTTCAATATAGGGAGCTTCTAGCTTATCAAACCTTGCTTTGTTAGCAGTTTGTGGAGCTAGTATGTTTAGGCTTGCCTGTCGAGGAGAACAGTGGTGTGAGTGACATGTCTGTGGTGTAGCCTATCGGAAGACTCTCCTTTGGAGCATGCCAGTGTTCTTGCTTTCTTAAGATTGGAAATGAACATTTTGTATCAATGGCTTCAACTACATTCTTACGGCCATAATGTCATGTCCCATGAGTGTGCTTTAGAGACCATAGTACTGGTCGTGGACTGTTCTGAGTATCCCGTGTTCTTCTTTGTTGCTTAACACCTTGACAGGTACCCTGGTGTGGGTTAAAACCTTGGGGCAGTTCTAGGAAAATATATGCTGACTGCTTTTTGGAGTCACCTTCTGTCATCAACCTTTATAATGTGCCAGATGGTGGATTAGTTCACCTGGGTCACGTGGTTTGGGTAGTTGTAAAAAGTTATTCATGCTAAGTAATCCTCCATATCACATGCTGCCATCACGAAAAAGTGCTAATCCTCTTTCCTTTTAAGGACTCAGATTTAAAAGGGTCATTTATGAAATCTCCCATGTTCCAACCCATAATACATATTCATTGCAAGGAAACCAGTCCCCTTGAAGAGCATCATGTCTGAATCGCCAATGATTTTCTTGTTTCTTGCCTTCTTGACTTAACAAATGAGCAGTTGAGAAACTCACTAACTCTATAAGCGTTGTCCGTCTAAGGATTTTAGACATCTAATATATCATCCTTGAGGTTAAGCTCTCTTCATGTGTGCCTTCATATATAGCTTATTTTGATGTGCCCCAAAATTTCTCTCCCCTAGATTTTCTTACATTTCATTGCTTACACGTAATGTTTATAAACTCGCTCTTTCTTTCAACAATACAAAGGGCTTGAAAAAAAAAATTGCCCAAAATATTCGTGAAATGAAAGTGGAATTTTTTGAAGAGATCTGAGGATCTATAATTTCCAAAAATGTTTCCATGGTAGTGCTCCATGTTTTGATTTTAGGACACTATATGATGTACACTTGATGTCAGTCCTTATTGACTGAAGATTTTATATAGAATGTTGATTGAACTTTTTTCCATGTGCTTACATCATGTTTGTTTTCTCATCTCCTGAGAAGTTAAAGAATGATTTATCTTCCTTAAATCTCTTAGTTATACCTAATGGCAAAAAACCCCAACCTTTTGTAATAAGTTGGACATTACACTGCAGTGAATTTGAATAGCTTGCTTTTGTAGAAGTAGTAAATCCAAAAGCAATTGGCAATGAGTGGGATATCTCAACCATGGAAACCAACATTAGGTGCTCCTAATCTGTTTATGTTGGGTACAAGCTCTTTTTGCACTCTCCCTTGCATGGGACATGGGCTTTCATGTAGACTGACAAACCGTACCAAATGAAATTGACATACAAACTGGGTAGTTCAAAAACGTGTGGGACTTGACCTGCTATCCAACCTATCTTTGATCCCAGCATCCAATCCAAAACAAATTGACAATTAGTGGGGAGGCCACTCAACTATATCAATCAACAATCCTAATATTTTGATGTAGGATATGAGCTTGTTTTATAGTTTTTATTAGTGATATGACATTGTTTTTTCTTTTGTGGGAGTTATTTTGAAGTATAAATGAGTGGGGTTTGTGTCCTTCAATTCTGCTAAGATAATCCTAAACTACAAATAAGAATACTTTATGACATTTCCATTAAGCCACTAAATTCAAGAAGTGCGATGGTTATGATCACACACAAGTTGTAATGTAACCCTTCTACACCACTTGCTCAATTTATGAGCAAGTGAAGTCAACTACCCACAAAGACAACATCCTAAGTAACATGCAATACACAAAACTGTAACTAACTTCAAGGCCCATTTGTGCGTATCACAATTGCTGTGCTCTCATTTTGGTGTGTTTCCGTGCTTCCATCTTTGAAGAAGTCATTCTGTAGAGAATTTCTAGTAAAATTGTTTCCACAATTTCCTTTCATGCTTGTCTCCCTTCTTTTTGATGAACAACTACCCTTATTATATCTGATTACTCCTTCATTTTAAAGATAGTGGGTTTTCTTTTTAATTCTCATAATGTGTAATTACGTAGCAACGTATTATTGATTGGTAAAGTTCTTCTGTTTGCAGATTCAAGTGTACACAGATTCGGAAACCTTTAGATTGTTAGGTAAGTCTTTGTATTTGTTTGAGTTCCATGTGCTTCCTTGTATCTGAAAAAAGATAAATATTGTCTTTCGCCGGATATGCTGGTAAAATTTCCAGGTACAGAACATGCACTTGTCATATGTAATCACAGAAGCGACATTGACTGGCTTGTTGGATGGGTTTTGGCTCAGGTGCTTATTCTCTCTGTAGCTTACATGCACAGTTCCACTTATGTATATAGGCTGTTACATATAAAGCTATAATCACATGTATTGTATGTGGGTGGTTAATATATATGTACGTGATTATGCAAGCATGTAATTATGTTCGATTGTTCGTACACAGAGTGACCACTGGTCTTTGCATGGAAGATATACTTTCTGCAAATGAAAGCNTTGTATGTGGGTGGTTAATATATATGTACGTGATTATGCAAGCATGTAATTATGTTCGATTGTTCATACACAGAGTGACCACTGGTCTTTGCATGGAAGATATACTTTCTGCAAATGAAAGCATATGGATTTGTAGGACTATCTGATATGAGACCAGTTCTTGTCATCTGTATCTTTATCTTAGTTTCTGCTGATTGATTGTCGGATCTTCCTATGACAGCGATCAGGTTGCCTTGGCAGCGCATTAGCTGTAATGAAGAAATCATCAAAACTCCTTCCAGTAAGTACTTCAACTCGACTTGGTGTTCATTGTGAATAATATGCAGCCTTTTAACATGGGGTGAATGTGGGTTGTGACTCTCAAGTTCTTAATGAGACGGGCATTTTTTTTGGCCAATCTCCAATTGTAGATTTATATATTGATCAGGATTTGATTCATTGTTTTTCTTTTTTTTTTTTTTTTTGTAAATCTGGCACTTGGATGAATAATATGGACACTGGGATTCTAGTTAATAATTCATAGTCATTTTGGATCGTAGTGTTGGGATACTTGACTTCAATATTTGAAGTTTGGGCAAATTAAATTTATTACATTAGTAAAACAGAACACTGCATCTCCTGCCAAACAGATTATTTTCAAAGTGGTCTCATCTTTACTTTTTTGACATGAGAGTATGATCAAGATAATTCAGAGTCTTGGATTTGAATGGAGATTGATAGTATCGGCACAAGTACTACTTCTTAGCAGGTTAAAAACTTTAGGTTAAACAATTACATGATTAAGGTTTGAATCAATTATTCATGCTACTATCACATTGTGCTTGTTTGTTCATGTTTATTTGTAATGTTTGTTACTCATTCTTATTTACCTTTTTCTTTGAGAAACTGCCATTTTCAAATGTTTTGAGAAAGCTCTGTTCAATACATGCCAGGTCATAGGTTGGTCGATGTGGTTTTCTGAATATCTCTTTCTTGAAAGAAGCTGGGCCAAGGATGAAGGCACATTGAAGGTACATTTGATTTAATCCATTTCTGTAAATGTAAATACATCTTTCTTATGATATTAGTGTGTGTGCTTGCACGTTTTTTTCTTTCTTGGGGTTGGTTCTTGGTACTTTAATTGTGTGCGCTCATTGACATAATTGGGGATTTTTTGGGTTTGTATTTGCAGTCAGGTTTTCAACAGCTAAGGGATTTCCCTCAGCCCTTTTGGTTGGCACTTTTTGTTGAGGGGACTCGCTTTACGCAGGCAAAGCTTTTAGCAGCTCAAGAATATGCTGCTTCAACGGGGTTGCATGTTCCTAGGAATATTTTGATTCCACGTACTAAGGTAAACGTTTATTGCACCTACTTTCAAAAGAGAAATTAGGGTTCTTTTCCCTTTGCTTTTCTTTTTCATTTGCCTTAACTATTTTTGAATCCATTTTGCTCTGGCTTGTTTGTGAATAGCTTTAGAACCTACATTTTGTTGTGTGTGTAACATTCCTTGTCTGTGGATGTTTCTTATGTGTGAGCTTGTGCAATTCAGCAGAATCTAGTAATTTAGTTTGTCATTCAACTTGGAGCCTCCTGCCTTTTGAGCCCACGATTTATTCTTTTAGTTGGATTCTATGTTACTTGCTGTATAAAATGATTGTTTTCATCAGAAAATCTTTAATGAAACATGGATACTTGATGCTCCAAGTTCAGGCAACTGATGTGGTGCCCTAACAACACCTTTCTTCTTCTTCTTCTTCTTCTTCTTCTTCTTTTCTGGCTCTTTTCCTGTTCCTCTTGTGTACATTTTACAATTGAGAATTATGTATGAATGAAAATGGACTTCGAGCCTTTTGACGTGATATAATGCATATGGGTATTCCAGAATATAGTTGGGTTTTCTAGGCATTCCAATTCAAGGAATGGCAAAATTTAGGTCCAAACTCAATAGGAAATTTATGGCTTGCATTGGTGGTTGGAGTGTTGCTTTCCCTGTCATCCTTTATTTTTTTTACATCAACGTCAACAATTAGAGTTGTTTATCTAAAATGCAATGCTTGAATAGTTGATGATTGTTTTATAAGTCCAGAATAGGGGTGATATATCATCACTAGAATTGCTTAATATTCAAACACCCCTTGATATTATGTACAATTTTGAGGTAAATTGCTGATTACACCTATCAAAAATATTGCGTAATCTTTATGTCTTTGTATAGACAAAAAACAATGTGAGGTTGGAAAGGTTTCACCTAAATTTGTGAACTCTCGCTTTTGTGCAATGCTTTCTACCTATTGGGCTCCATATTTACATATCACCCATTTGGGCCAGTTTACATGATGAGTCAACTTTGATCAATCTGTTGCTTTCAGGGCTTTGTTACAGCAGTAAGTCATATGCGCTCTTTTGTCCCAGCCATATATGATATGACAGTTGCTATTCCCAAAAGCTCGCCTGCACCGACAATGCTAAGACTTTTTAAGGGGCAACCTTCTGTGGTAAGCCTACAAGATCAGATAAATTAGGACTCTGGTATTTAGCAGTTTGCATATGCGGTAGCACTTAAATGTGGTTCTGGCGTCAACTAATGTTGTTTCTTACTCCGTCTAGGTGGGATAAATTTTGGTGACAAAACAATCTGCTTATCGACATTATTAGAAAATGCATATATTAATGTTTACAAGTAAACTTTTCTTTTTTTTTTTTTGATAGGAAACACATTTTACTAATAATACAAGGGATGTGTTTACAAGTACACACTCCATTTGGTAAAAGGGGCGTGTGATGCACTCTTAGTGCTCGATTACATTTTTCATTAATGTTGCTTCAAATCATTAAGGGATAATGTCAATATGCTCCACAAAGTATGGTTTGAAAGCAGAGACATGTAAAGTTATTATTAATTATATGTAAAAAGTGGTGGTAGCTTCCTAAAGGAAAACTACAAAAAATTAATAACTGATACTACAGATGATAGCAGGGAGTGACGTAATGACTTAGAATTTTGTTTGGGATGCAAGTGTAGAGTAAAAAAAAATAGAATTTTGTTTGGGATGCAAGTGTAGAGTAAAAAAAAAGAAGTCTGTGTTTAATAATGACAGGTTTGGGACTATTGTCGTCATTAACGTGTGGTAATCAGGATGAACGGTAAAATAATTCTATTATGTTGGGAAAGCAGTAATATTAAATGAAGTTGGGTGTGGGAAAAGCAGCGCATCATTGAAGGTATAAGCATAAATAGTTCAGATTCCAGAATAATATAGAAATTAGAAATTCTGTGTATAAAATATCATGGTTTTTTGGGTTTTCTATTGGCACCTTGAAGATTCTAGTTATTACATAACTGCGTTATATTTTATTACTTTTTGTATGTTAGATCGATGCTAAAAGTTGCTTGTAGATGTGGAAAATTTTGAATATTAAGGTGCCCTTTATCCTTTGGGTTTTAATGATTTACCGTTGGACAGATGCACGTGCACATCAAGCGGCATTCGATGATGGATTTGCCTGAAACCGATGATGCTGTTGCTCAGTGGTGTAGAGATGTCTTTGTGGCCAAGGTGCACACTTTTTTCTTTCTTATTAGCTGTCCATTTACCAGTTAAATTGTTTGGGACCTGTAGTGTTATTATTTCCCAAGATTGCATATATGGAAAACTACATCTTTAGTTAGGGAAATATATATTTATGCATGTATATTCACGTGTATGAATATACTTGTGGCCTATTCACTATTTCATGATTTCAGCAGAAATAATACCTTTGGGTTGCATTCGCTATATCTCTCGATGGGTTTCCATGAGTATCTTACCATTTGCTTTTTGCTTGTAACTCACCAGGATAAATTGTTGGACAAGCATTTAGCTGAGGATACTTTTGGTGACCAACAATTACAAGACACTGGGAGGCCAGTAAAGTCCCTTTTGGTGAGATAGTTGTTATATTAAGCTAGTCATGTTAAGTTCGGCAACACCACTCCCCCCCCCTCCCTTTTTTTTTTCCTTTTCTTTTGTTGTCTCTTTAACTAATTGCAAGTAATTTGCGATGTCAGGTTATCATCTCTTGGGCATGTCTGCTGATATTTGGAGCGTTAAAATTTCTCCAGTGGTCTTCACTTCTATCTTCATGGAAGGGTGTCATATTCTCAGCAATTGGCTTGGGTATTGTTACCTTCCTTATGCACATTTTGGTCCAATTCACTCAGTCAGAGCGCTCAACTCCTGCCAAGGTCGTCCCAGCAAATGGTAGAGGGACTTCAGGTATAGGACAAGATAAACACCAGTAGATCACAAGCTTCTTTCTAGATATTTGACAGAACCTTCCATATCTAAAACATATGTATTATGTAGCAAGTGTCACCGTTACCTGAAGCTATTGTCCATTTAAGCCGTGTAATTTTGCATTAATAAACAAGTTCGTGCTTGACTGCTGTACAAAAGATTCAGATTGTATGCATATCAATTCATTTATTGATGTCCAATCAAGCTACTCTGGTGTGCCTTCTTTATCTGTATCCTAAGAATGCTTGGATTTAGGTGGTTATTTGATCATCGATGATTCTTTCTGGACCGTCTTAAGCTATTAGAATCTGTGGTAGGGTCGAACCCTGGACCTGGTAAGGTTTGCCCATGCCAACATGCTTGGCCGCGATTATGTTCTTGATGACCCCCGCCCC